CGCATTGACCCGAAGCGGCGCAATGTTCTTGATCATCGCAAGAAGCAGTTTGCCGACCCAACCTACAAGAAGACCGAATACCCACATGCCCTCAACTTCTACGCTACCCCTCCGACCGCGGATATCACTCTCGAGCAATTCGAGCAATGGGCAATTGATAGACTGAGGAGTAAGGCATACCCTACCTGATGTTTGCGTTGCGCTGCGTCTTGTTTGTTTGTTTGTCGACTAACGGATCCGCGAAAAGTCCTTGCTGAGCTAGAAGCATGCTCGTTCCGCAACAAATCCCCGGCCGAGACGGCCGCACACATGAAGCCTCTTCTCGAAAAGTACCTCATGCTCCAGCCGAATACTTCATCCTCGACAAAGCTCTACGCTGAGCGCCAAAAGGACCACTACAGCCATTTCATCCTACGTCTAGCCTTTGCCTCGACTGAGGACCTGCGCCGGAGGTTCAGTCGTGTAGAGACCATGCTGTTCCGCCTGCGACTGAACGACGAGACGGCGCGCGAGCGGAACGCTTTCATACAATCCATCAACCTGGACTGTGAACAGGTAGCCGAAGACGAGCGAAACAGATACCGGGATCAGCTCAATGCCGTTCTAGGCTTCAGGAAAGCCAACGAGGAGGAGACGTGGATCAAAGTGGACTGGGACAGAGTACCGGACCTGGTCGAATCGAGGCGGGTGTTCTTGAAGGCCGGTAAAGCCTATGTGCCCTCCAAGGAGCAGTCCAGCATGGTGATCGCCGAGTTTACACAACGACTGGATCGCGCGTTAGAAGTATGTCCATCCCGTTCCCCTCGTTTTTTACAAAAGAGAAAGAGAAAGAGAGAGAGAGAGAGAGAGAGAGAGAGAGAGAGAGAGAGCATTAACGGGTGGTTTAGTTGACTGCTCGCGCTTTACCACGGCTGGACGAAGACGATCGTCTAACGCCGATACTTGATCATTTATCCAAAAACTTCATCACACCAGACGCCTCTTACGCGAATTCAACGTCGTCAGTGCCCGGCGCAGACATCTCGGCGCGTAACATCGATGCCCTCTCGACGCATTTCCCCCTGTGTATGCAGAACTTGCACCGAAGTCTCAGACGAGACGCGCATCTCAAACACTACGGGCGACTGCAGTATACCTTGTTCCTGAAGGGCATAGGTCTGAACTTGGAAGAGTGCCTGATTTTCTGGCGGAGCTCGTTCCATAAGATCACCGACGACGCCTTCAACAAGGAATACCGATACAACGTGCGACACGCGTACGGCGATGTCGGTGGCGACTCGAACCGGCGAGGCGGTGGCTATTCGCCGTACTCGTGCCAGAAGATCTTGACGGAGCACCCTCCGGGCCCAGGTGAGGCGCACGGGTGTCCGTACCGCCATTTCAGTCTTGAGAATCTCACGGCGCTGCTGCAGAGTATGGGCATCACGGATAGATCTGTCCTGCAGGGCGTTAGTCAAGACAAGGAAAGCCAGAAATATCATATGGCTTGCAACCGGTACACTACACTCCTGTCCTTCTTTGTCTACTCGTGCTAATTATAATGAATTCATGGAATGGCAGGGTCTTCGAGTACGTTCATAAGAACGAGATCAAGAAAGCAAAGGACGAAGGTGTCATGACCTCGGCACAGCTCGAAACCATTGTTCATCCCAACGAGTACTTCAAGCGCAGCTACTTGTTGAAGGACCTAGGTAAAGTAAAGAATGAGGATGTCAAGATGGAAGGGGCTTAGATGTCGCCCCCTCGTTTGATTTTATTCCATAGTTGCGGAGAGGGTCCAAGAGTTGTCGTTTATTCTGGGAAGGAGACGGCAACAGCTATGAGTTTGGGAATAATTATAGGTATTATGAAATGTTTGAAGCACCGGGTTCAAGGGGTTGCTGTATATACAGCCTTTAGAATACCGAGTCGGGGCTCAGGCGTTTTGGACGGCATAATCTGTACAGCGGAGTATTCTAGCATGAAGCAATGACCCATGATCGACATATCCATCACCGTTCCCTTTCTCATCATCATCACCGCCGATAAGTGTCCTCGATTGAAGTTTTTGAACATACTCAAGCGTCCAGGCAGTGCAGATTCATTGCTTACCTATTTTCACCCGAGCTCGTCAACACACTGCACGGGATTAGTGTCCCCGGCGCTCATCTCCAGTGGCGCTCCATAGTCGAGCATCTCAAGGGGTTTCCCTATGCCCTCGGTAAACATTCAGGTATCCAGTTCTAGGCGTCACCACTTGTAGGACCATTCCCAGGTCGTGATACTCTTCCACGAGCGTCTCCGGGCATGACGCCAACACTCGCAAGCCTCTGTGATATCGCATATTATTAAAAGCGAGCTCCCCTCACGAGACTGTACATCGACGCAGGTGAGAAAGAAGTCATCCTCCAACTAGTGCAGTGTACTTTTTTTCTCTCCCCCTTCCATCCCTTGTCATTGGCCAACCAACCAATGCCGGTGGCCCCTTCTAAGCGCGCCCTCGTCGAGACAGGGCAAGTCATTGCGAGGAATTACTCTAGATATGATGGTTTTTTGTTTTTTTTTTCAGCTGACGGTGTAGGTAGATAAGCCCTAATTACTGACTGTTTCATTCAGCCCGCGGTGACTAAAAAGGTAAAAAGACGCCACCTCCAACGACTACCTATACGCATTACACCTATACGCATTGGGGGGGGGGGGGGGCGGGCGGCCCAGGGCCCTTTTCTCCAATATGCAT